GCTCGTGCTTCTATGTCTCTGGACCTATTTTGTTCACCAGTTTATTTTTTATTAGATTGTTATGTTTTGTTTTAAAACAGAATTTGGGGTAGCTATGAAAACATGAGCAAAATTGTCAGATTAAAAAAACAAATAAATGAGAAAACCAGAGTTAAGAAAGAGAATGCATTGCCCCCAGAGAATGAGGGTTTGAAGCTTTCTGACATCAGACAGCAGCTTGGCCATTCATTCACTCATTCATTCGCGGGGTCAGCGCTCCACTCTGAGCAGCTCTCCAGGGTGGCAGCGTGTATGGAGGAAAAGGCCGCGCTCACGCTTCAGCAGGGAAACCCAGCCAGGAGATGCCCATCTAGTACAGTGTGGCAGGAACTGTGGGAGGAAGTGGAGTAGGGCCCCCTGGGGAGTAGCCTTCCAGACTATACCGAGCTGAGCTGGGTCTGCAGCTCCTTCCCGTCCTGAGTCCTGATTGTATTTGTTCATGTTCATGTTTCAGCAACCACCTGCGGCAAGAAGATGGCCAAGATTAACACCCAGTACTCCCACCCCAACCCGCCCGGCCCTTGGGTGAGGGCCACAGACAGCGATCTTGATCACCTGGAAAACGGCCTGAGCAGGTAAGACGGGCTTTTTATTTTGCCTGGAAAAGGTCCTTCCCCGGGCTGGTCTACGCTGTGGGAGAAGAATGCCTTCGCCTGTGGCCAGCCGCAGGTCAGAGGGCTGGGGCTCCTCACGGTGCTCCTTCCACCAACATTGTTCATCTCACTGAAGTCCTTTGGTTCTTGTTTTAGAGATGTGGGAAAATAAGGCTCAAAAATTGCATAACTTGAGACAGTAACAAAATGAAGATTCAATTCTACTGTAGAAAGGTCTCCAAACTGCCACACTTTCCAGGTGTACATCAAACACTTACCAGACTCTGTGCAACAGCGCTGTCCTGGGCACTGGGGTGCCCTGCCCTCACTTCCAGGGGCAGGCTGGGCTCTGCCAGCAAAGCCATCAGCCCATTAGTGACAGTCCTACACACGCAGCTGCAGGGGAATCTGGGGTCTGGAGTTTCACTTCTGGTCCGGTTGCTAACTTACTAGGAAAGTGTGTTTAACATTTCCATGCCTCAGTTTCTTCAACTGCAAAAGGGAGCAGCATTCTTGTCCAAGTTCCTGACATACTATTGAGGAAATGAGATGGTGCCTATTTGGTGCAAGTGGGCTTACATTGTTGTTTCTTAAATTCCCAATAAGTTGATTGAGTGGATCCATGAGAAACTTTATTTCCAACATTTATGTTATTTTTGTCCTACATATATAACACTCAAAACTTCTCCCTCCCATGATAACTGCATATTATCTGACTAGTGGCCTGGTGCATGAATTCATGCACATTGAAAGGAAAATAATTAGAAGAAATATTTTAATAGTTAATATTGGATTTTGTATTCCACATGGTCCATGTACCATATTTGATTTTACAATTTGAAAAAGTCAAGGAGACTGGTCTTCATTCGGAATTTCTGCCTTAACTATACGGTCAATGTTGTGTTCCGTTCATAATTTGGATTCACTATCTAATATCAATAATATGTGAGCGCGAGGCAGTCCGTGTTTCTGAAATTCGATGACATAAATTTTAGCTGTAACTTTGCCAAGTAAATCAAATTTACATATATCATTTAAAAGAGCATTCAGCTTAATATTAAAAACCCTGGCTACCAAGTCAGGTCTGTTTTCAACTTTTTGCCAGCGTTGTAAATTATTTGTAATATCTGCCCATTTTGGGTTGCACATCATGGTTAGGAATAAATCGGGCTTGCCATACTTCATTACAATTGCCATAGCATCCTGATACTGATATTGCTGCTGCATATTTCTGGGACTACCCTCAAAAGACGATTGGCACATTGTGATTTTCAGATCTAGATGTGAAAAAATCCGTCAAACCACTATATTTTTCAACTCTCAACTTAGATTGGTTTGCTTTAATGAAATTTATCTGATTGGCTTCCATTTTTTAATATGAATCAACAATATACTGTTGAGTTAATTTTCCTGCATTTAAAATAGGATTGAAGCCCTAACCGGTTTGGCTCAGTGGATAGAGCGTCAGCCTGCGGACTCAAGGGTCCCAGGTTCGATTCTGGTCAAGGGCATGTACCTTGGTTGCGGGCACATCCCCAGTGGGGAGTGTGCAGGAGGCAGCTGGTCGATGTTTCTCTCTCATCGATGTTTCTAACTCTCTATCCCTTTCCCTTCCTCTCTGTAAAAAATCAATAAAATATATTTTTTAAAAAATAAAATAGGATTGAACATGTCCCGGACGGAGAGATGAAATCCATAATACTGCATTTGTGTGACTTGTGTCCTTACATTTTGTCTAGTATTATTGTCGATTACACTGTCGTCTCTGAGTCTTAATGCAATATCTGTTCCCAGCCTTTTTCACCATGTGGAAAAAGAACAGGATACGTCATTGCATCTAATGTAGGAAACAGGACACTGATTTGTTTCATTTTAGTGGCATTTGGATTATTGGGATCTGGTTTACAGTGAATGAGCAAGTCCCTTTCAAAAGGAGGTTCTCCATCTTCGTTTCTGAATATGACAGCAACCTTGGTTACACGAGGAGAATTATATCTACCCGGGTCACTGTTATGATCATATTTAATCGCCATTGTTACTTCGTGGGAGTAATACCTTTCGCTACTGCTTCAGATTGGGCTTCCTTTCCTACCTCATGTAGCATCTTGTACAATTTTGTTAATTCATTTATTTCATGCATGAGGTTTTTGATGTTGATCACGAGTCTTTTCTGAGCAGCCCTGGTTTTCTGGCATTGCTAATCTTTTACTCGTCACTTCGGCTGAGTCTAAAATGTAGAGTTGAGCAAACTTCCGAGAAATACCATCTGAAGGATGTAAAGTTCCAGTACAGTGATAAACTTGTCCGTGTATTCTAAAACAGTATGGCCCATATCCTGATGGCAATGTGATATTTGCACCCATTGAAGCCAAAGCAAAAGAACTATTTATGGAACGAATATTTTCCATAACATTTTTACTGTCAGAATCTTCATTTATCATTAATTTTTTAAATATGCCGGGCATTCTGGAAAATTTATATCATTTGGACATACTTTACCTTTGCTGAAACATGGAGTAGATTTTCCATCAGATGGCTTCTCATCAGAGAAATTTAGTGAGAGGCAAAATGACATGTAACAGTCATTCCACCACAACTGTGTTCGATAATTGCATCCTCACTTACTTCATTTTCGCTGTGAAGTCAGTTCCTACTAGTATTGGTGGTACTTGTCCATGACAGTTTTTCAGACATATCCTGTCGACGATGCCGCTTTCTTTCAGCTGCAGAGGTACCATTCGGGCCAGCAGGCCAGGGAGGGAATGTGGGAGATTGGCCTGCCTGGAAGGGACCACAGGAGGGCTTCGGGGCATGTCTGGACCGGCCGTCTCGCTCCAGCAGCCCCAGCTCACGCCCCCAGCCTCGCAGCCCCACAGCCCCACCTGGCACCCCGCCTTGGCCTGGCACCGCCTGCTCACTTGCTCTATCATCCCGCTGTGGTCCTGCTCTCATCAGGGCCCCATTGGGCGGGCAGCGCCTCCACTGCTGCCAGCACTGCATCACCAACACCCCCTAGTGGTAAGCACACCTCATAGCGAGCAATCAAACTCCCAGTCTCTTGGTTGAACTCCCGAGGGGACAATTTGCATATTAGGCTTTTATATAGATGGCCACAAATGCAGTGCCAGTGCCTCGGTCCCCACACCACTGGCTTTGGGCCCTCATCCATCACTTCTCCTCACTCAGGGGTGCATTTGTCTCTTCTCTGTCTGGGTATTTGGTTCCAGCTCCTTAATAGACTCGCTAATAAATGATGGACAACAATATCTAATGACATTGAGGCCCTACTACTGAATATTTAGGCAGCCCTCGGACTCACCTTTGAGGATTCAGGCAAAGGGAGGAAAATCTCAAAACACCCCAACAGAGACGTAGTTCCCAACCATTTTAACATACTGGGGCCCCCAGAAATGTGACATTGACTCAGGGACATCAGAAATCCCCACCCTCCTAACTGCTCCCTCCTAACCCACCTGCTGTCCACACCTGTGTCCCACCACTGGGGACTTACTCCTTTAGGTTAAGGCATCGCCCCTGATTTAAAAGAATAGAGAATATAATCCAGACAGTTATCTGCTACTAACACGTTGACATGCATTAATAGTTTCCTTCCCACGTCTGAGCTAATAAAGCCCCTCAAGGTGGGCCTCGGACAAGTTTGGGGAGCGGGGAGAACAGGCCCAAGCATGGGCACACAGTCAGGCTGCCTGGCAGCATCTGGCTCCTGGGATCTTGGGCCCCATGGGGGAAGGACCGAGCTGTCAGGTCAGGGAGAACTCGAGGCAGAATGGGACTTCCCCCATCGCTCCCTTTCGCCTCTGGTGGGGCATGACCAGAGCATCTTGTGGAGTTCGCAGACTCCCTGGGCTATGAAGGGAGGGGGCAGTCTGGCTCGTCCAAGGAGGTGCTCGAGAGGAGGCAGCTAGGTGGTGCCGTGGCTCTTGCCCAGATGGCTCTTGCCCAGGCACCACCGTGGTCCGGCTCTGCCCCATGCGTCCTGGCTCCTCCTCCGCCAGTGGCCCACAAGCTTGACTGCGGGCTGTTCAGGGGGCCACAGGTCCTCCTGGAAGATGAGCCTCTGCAGAAGGAATTGCCAGCTCACTGAGCCACCTGACACCTAGTGATGGGCCTCTGCTGCCGAGGGACTCCCTGTGGGCTCATGTCCAGTTCACGTTTCCTCAGGGCCGGTCAGCCACACAGGTCAGGGCTCTGAATCATGCCCTTCAACGATGCTATTCATTCGTCATCTGAATGGGTGAGAATGCCATCCCCGCCCCTCTCCCCCTGTTCCCTGGCCAGCACGGTAGCTAACAGCACAGGACAGACTGCTGACCCGAACAATGGCCCATAACTGACCAGCCTGTTTCCACATCTACACAATGGGCTGTACTTACCTCAGAGGCTGTAGTGGGTTCAGACAGGACAAAGCTCGGGCTCAGGCCCTGCCTGGAGTAAGTGCCTGTGAATACTCGCTGCCGGTCTCGGCAAGGAGTCCCCCCCTGTGGGTCTTCTCTGGTGTCCCCGGCTCTGCCCTCAGAGCCCCCGCTGTTCCGACATCTGGAGCTCACCCTTCCTGCCTGAGTCCCATCATGCTGTCTCAGCCTGACCACGAGCCTTGTCTCACCCAGCCCCACTGGAGGCCTTGCCCAACTGCTCTTTTGGGAAAAAGCCTGTTGACAGATTACTACAGAACCCCATGGAAATACTGCATAGATTTCAAACACAGAGAGAAAGAATGCTTCTTTCATGAGAGAGCTGTTGTGCTTTATCTCATGGAGGCAGGAGTGGGTTAACAGATGGACGGTTCCGGAATGGGTCACGTGGGCAGGCTAAGTAGCTGTCTCAGATGGTGGATGAAGAAAACTGAATTTATTTAAGGAAAGGGGTGGGGGATGGGATACCCAGAGGGAAGGGCTGAGCCGCACCGGGCCAAGGGGACATGGGTGGCTGATGGCAGCACAGGAGCTGGCGTTTCATCCTTAGATGCAGTCACTGGCAGATTTGGGGCTGAGGTGGGCTTGGAAGGCGGGTGGATTGCAGGCGTGCGATCAGGTGCCTCAGGAGTTTCCACTCCTTGTGCGGTCTGACTCCTGGTGTCCGGCAGCTTTTTCCTGGTCTTTGTCTCCTGTGGCGGGAAGCTTACAAATGGCCGTAGGGGTGGTGTTGCCCTACAGCCCTAACAGACATCGCGGTAGAAATTCAAGCCTCGAGAACCAAGTGCAGAGATGCCTGGGGAGGAAAGGCTCCCTGGTCCCTTGAACTTACATCATAGGAGGCTCCCATTCTTTGTGGCGCACTGGCCCTTCTGCACTTGAGTCTGTGAACAGCACGCAACTCAATATGAAATCGCCTTTTTTCTCTTTCCTATTTGAAGACCAGGAAACACACTCCGGGGGGTGAGCGGCCAGCCCACAGAACTCCTGGTTGGGTGCTGGGCAGGGACGGGCCGAGGCCTCTCACTCTGCCGCCTCCCCGCCGAGTGGGCGTCCACGGGCCAGGCCACACAAGCTCTGATGTCATGGGCAGTGGTTCCCCTGCTGCTGACCCAGGAAGCCTGGTCTCAGGATGTCTCCCACGTGATTAACAGGCGCCAGACTCACAGACATGCTGGGCCGACTGCTTGGTGCTGAGACAGAGGGGCTGCTGGTGGGGACTGAACAGCTCCATCCTCGAGGTGCCTCTGATCTGCCAGGTGCACGTGCTGCGGCAGCGCTCCGGCCCGCCGGCCCCCCTCCCCCCACTGCCAGCTGCTAAGGTCCAGGGGCTGGAGACAGACTCCTTGTCCCCGTCTCCTTCTCCTGGAACTGACCTAGTCCCTTGGAGCGTGCCCGCCACCTTTGTAATAAGAATATTGGAAGGGCAACTGAGGTGTGGCCTCCTACCTGCAGCAGGGCCCGGCGGGCCTCTTGTTTGCACAAGGATGAGATGTGAGCGTCTCTTATGGGTATTGAGGTGGAATTCCATCACGTGGCTTGGAAATAGAGGCAGGCTGCACAGTGCAGTGGGTGGGTCAGCGCCACGTCTCTACCACACGCCACAGGGCTCCGTCCTCAGCCATGCCCTCCTCAGCTTCTGCTTGAATGGCACCATGTGTGGAAAAATCAGCTTCATGGAGTGGATGCCAACAGGCTTTGAAGTGGGATGCGATGATAGTCAAATCTCAGTTTTGCCACTTGGCTGTGTGCCCTTGGGGAAGTTACCTAACCTCTCTGAACCTTGTTTTGTTCTCTTATAGGGTTGTTATGTAGATTAAATGATATAATGTATGTGGCTGACTTCAGTAAGCAGTCAATAAATGTCATACGGTTGGTGTGTGTATTTGTGAACGAGATGGAGTTGGGAGGAAAGGCTGATGCCACTGTCTACCAAGGGTCCCAAACGCCGAGTGACTCAGATACACGGGAAGTCCCATCCTTCCAACAGACACATTGCACACGCAGCAGCCATGTTACAGGACTTGGGTTTTGGCTGCCAGTTGGTGCTGGGAGCACCAGAAGCACAGGGACGCACAGCCTACAAAGACCTCTGGCTTGGGCTCCAGCAATAGCAGGATGGTCTTAGCCTCCCTGCCAGTCAGGCAAGAATGCAGGAGCCTGCTCCCAGGAGGATGCCCGTGAGGGGAAGGGACTTGAACCCGGTGAGGAGTGGCCGGGGGGTGGGGGTTCCAGCCTGGAGAGGCAGCACAGGTGTGAGAGCTGTCCCTCACGGAAGGCGGCCATGGAAGTGGCAGGTGCCTGACTGTGGTCCCAGCAGAAGAAAGGAGTCTTGAGATGGGGAAGCTGAGGGAGGGGCTGTGCAGAGGTGGCCTGGACAGGACGCGGGATGGTAGTGAGCCCTCCCTGAGCCCCTCTCCCCCTTGGAGCGCAGGGATGATGAGGAAGGAGGAGGCCGCAGCTCAGTGTCTGGGGTGCAGCATCTGACTTCTCCTCACTCGGTGGGAGGAAGGGAGCCTTTCCCTGTCATTAGTTCTCGCCTCCTCCAGCCGTCACCACCTGGTTAAGAGGGCTGATTAGGCTGGGATAGGCCATGAGATAGAAATCATTTGTCTTGCCCGGGCTCTTCCGGACTTGCAGACTGAAGTGCAAATCCCTGGAGGCCAAGGCCAGGATGGCTCTTAATCAGGCTGGTCAAACCGCAGCCCCAGGAGGTTTTCAAGGAAGGGAAATATTCCCAGAGACACTGGTCTTCTTCCCATAAACACTAGGGAAGGCCTCCTGAAGGAGGTGGCCCTGAGCTTGCCTTAGGAGGTAGGATTTCATTAGCAGAGATGAGTTTGCGCGAACACCCTTGTTCTGGAATTAGTGTGGACCAGGCTGCTCTGGCTCCAGGTGGGGGCGCTGGGACTGCCCCCTCCCGTGCTCTGACGGGACCATGTGCGCTGGCTTGCCCCTCTCACTGAGCCCACCATGTGCGCTGGCCTTGGGCTACTTTCCTCAGTCAGGCTTGCTGTGAAAGGAAGGCCACATTTATCCTAAGAGCAGGGTCTGTGGCAGCGTGACCTGCAGTGGGAGTCGTGGGTTGAGGACCCGTGGCGGCAGCTGTCCTCGCTGGGCAGGGCATCTGGCCATCTCATCCTGAGCGTGTCCAGGAGGCGCGCAAGCTTGAAATCAATTCAGCCTGCGGCACATCTGATTTCCTAGGACCCGCGCGCCTGGCGAGGAGACATGCTCAGGACTGCAGCCAGGGATCGCCATGGAGACCGGAGGACAGCCTGAACCCAGGCAAGGCTCCGTCACCGTCCCCAGCCAGGAGCCTGCCAGGTAATGGGTGGGTCTCAGCCTTCTTCTTGGGAAGGGGAGACTGAGGCAGAAGGAAAGTAGATGCGTCTCGGAAAGAATGGTGGGTGGGACGGGTTGAAGGTTTGGAGAAAGAAGAGGTAGGAGCAGAGTCAGACATCCATCAGTGAGCAGTTCTCCCCTGGGTCAGGGGTCTGAGCTCAGAAAAGTCTAAGAAAAGCTGCCTCGATCTGAACTTGCTTTAATGAAAAGTTATATTGGGAGACTTGCTCAATTCTGGAATAATTCGGGGGCGGGGGAGCCAACCAGGGAGGGTTCAGGAAACAAGTGCAGGCAGCCACGGGAGTCCACGGGGTGCCCACTGCAGCACGGAGAAGGGTGGTGGCACCTCCAAAGCAGCCTGGCAGGTCCCCACCAGCACACATCTTCCTTGTAAATGCATCCGAGAGATTAACCAGGCTCTCTCCCTTCTGGTGATGGCTGTGCTCTGGCTTCAGTAGCTGTACCACCTGGAGGGAATCATTGCACCTTTTCCAGTCTCATCTGAGATGCTAATCCTGCAGCCCCCCCCCCCCCCCCCACCCCCCCCACACCC